TTAAATTTAATACATTTTGTCAAAATTCGATCTTTAAATGCTTATAAAAAAAAATTGCGCCAATGTATTTTTAATATTTTTCAACTAATACTGTAACAATATATCAGGAGCCTTGTATTAAATTACATTTCAAATACATTCAAATATGAAATTGTCCGTACACAGCTCAAAAGGGGTCAAAATATTTTCAAAATTGTATGTTGTATAGGAAATGCTAGTATAAATATTCAGTGATATTTTCGTGTATCTAAAGTTATTTGTTTTTGAATTACAACAATATAAGGAAATCGCTTTAAGGGGCCTCGCAATGGCATCGATTTAAGGAGACTCATTTAGGCAATTTCTGATCTCGTCGTCGCCACCCGAGATCTGTGTGTTAGTCGTAAATAATTATTAGTGTGTGTGGCGTCCATGCGGGTCAATTGTAGTGGTGCGGAGGGCTCTTGCACGCACTCGCACACACATGTCAATATAATATAATATTGTGATCATGAAAAAATGTTTATTTTTCACTCAAACATACGATTCCAATTCCAACATTACGTCCCAACGATTAACTCGATTTTCATTCTGACAAAATATTCTTATTTTCCACAGCATTTATGAGGGATCGATCGAGACACATTTTTAAAATTGTATTTAGTTAATTAAATATTGAAGTTGGAAATTCTGTACTTTTTTTGAATTTTTTTACAATTTTCATTGCAATTTAAATTACAAAAATTAAAAATGTGGCTGGATTGTTCCCTTGTATATATAACGGACAATCAGAATATTTTTTCAGAATGAAAATCGTTATAATTGTCGACACGTATCGTTGGAATTAGAAACAGTAGTTTTTGACAAAAAAAAGACGTGTTAGCAAGGCCCCTTAAGAGAAATCGAGTGAATATCCAATGTTGTAAAAATTTAAATTTCAAATGCTCATAAAAATTTAATTTGACTTTCTTATAGACATTTTTTTTTTGATAAAGGTACACAAACTAATGAGAAATATTGTATTACATTTTCAAATCTTAGATTTAAAAAGAAAAATTTTTATGAATTTCTAACTAAACATAATTTGCAAAATTTTAAGTTTTTTCCGTATTTTGTCAATATTTAAACGTTAAATGCTTTTAAAAAAAAATAATTGTGACTAAGGATTTTTAATTTTTTTCATCTGCTTTTGAAACAATATACTAGGAGCCTTCTATTAAATTGTCAAGCTTTTTTAAGCAACAAATAAAATTTTATTGACATTTTTAGAAAAAAAACTAAAAAAAAAATGGAAACTTAAAATGTCAGTAAAGAGCACAAAATAAGTCAAAATATTTGGAAAATGTTATTTTGTATAGAAAATGCTAATATTAACTATCAATCAAAATTGCATGTACCTACGGTAATTTGTTTAAGAGTTGCACCAAAAACCAAAATCGATTTTCTCGAAAACAGATTTTGCGTAAAAATTCCTGTTTTTCCTTAATTTTCCTTTTGTTTTTCACGGTGCTTTTGAAAACTATTGGGAAATTTTCACTGTTGACCACCAGAAGTACCAACTAGATTCACTTTCCTATCAGAAAAGATACTGTTGAAGAAATTCAATGAATTTTTACTGTCCTAAAACGTGATGACAGACACTAAAATAAAAAAAAAAAATACAAAAAAAACACACATCATTGTAAAATCAATACATTCTTAGTTGCACTCAGAATCTAAAACCAAATTACTACAATATACATTTACATTTTTTTTTATATTTACGTATAATAAATAATACCAGTTTACCTGAAAATACTATGATCACGTGATATTACGTCGCATCATAATATTACTTATTAAACTGATTATAAACTACAAGCAAACATATTTATGATTATGTAAAATTATTATATACGTAAAAGTTATCGGTAACTAAAAATAAACGTACCTACCTAGGTAATCGTATCAATCGAACTCTGCTCACAATTTATTGTGGAAACCCTAAAACAAAATTACAACACTGAATTTATTTTTTTACCTAATTATCTGACAAGTAAAACAATGGTCATGTCACACACTCGTACGCCCTTAACCTTTCGGCATGCACTCTACTGTGTATTACAAGAGCGGGCACGTGTCGTACTTTATACGACAGAATGCTTTTCATCTATATTTAATTAAAATGAATGATAAACAAATAATTTTAATAGAAATATTTTTTGAAAACATTTTACACCTATTTAAATAATATTTTATGAATTTATATATAATATATTTTTTATAATTTATAATTGTAATTACAATATAGTAATAAAACACGATTTTTAAATAACGGTGTAATCAAAATACAAATTTTGCTATGACGTTATATTTTCATTAATATTATAAAATATAAATCATTTCAAATTATTCACTTGCCATTTCCATACAAAATTAGAATAATATTAAATTAGTTTAAATCCATATGTGCACGGTTTTTGTGAACTAAGTTAGGAAGTGATATCTTATCTGTAGTAAAATGATCTCAGATGTAATGATATCTACGTCATTGCACCTACACAGTTTCATGACGTAATATCATCATAACACTATTAAATATTTTATTACCAAAAAACCACAATAATAATATGTACCCATGTACCCATTATGTTACCCAAAATTAAACACAACAACAACAATCACACTCATTATGAAATCAAATCACTATACAATATCCAATAAACACTATCAAAACATAACAAATATATGTACCCATATACCCCGATATAATTCAAAATGTACTAAAACCTATTAATAAGTAATAACCATATATAGATACAGATGTACAAATGTCACTAAACTTACAATAACATATTTTGATTATACCCATGTATATATGCAAAAATAAACAACAACAATTTAATATGGAACAACAAGGTACAAAGATCAATACTATAAGTAGAACCCCCATTTTGATACTCAGACCAGTCTATGCACATCATTCAACACTGTCATACACAGTTTGTCATACGCACCGTCTTAACACGCCATATTCAAAAAGTGCTTATTAACTTAAAAACACCGTCACCTCAAATCTTATAAAATCTTGTTGTGAAGTATTAAAATAACTTAAATTCAACCACAAATTGTACTTACATTATTTTAACAATATCTATACCATCAACACCTATTTCAAATTCCATCGCTGTTTAGCTCAAGAAACATCAACCAGGTAATAAGTTATACAATAAAATACCTACACAATTCATATTAAAGAAAACATCATCAACGATACACTTAGTTAAGACACGCAGACTCAGGAGCTCCATAAATCATCATATCCTTCGTTTATAAATCAATACTCACGATCCCAATCAATCGTAATAATTATATGCTTTAACTGGTAATAAAAGATAGGATAAAAGAAGTCGCTATTCCAAATCCCTTTAATTATTATTTATTTAAAATAGCTAACTATACCATCTCAGTTAATATATTATTATAAGGTGAAGTTTTATCAATAGCAACGCGCATGCTTATTTTTAAATCATCACAAAGTGGCGCCCAACAACAGTGACTCTCATTCTAAAAAGATTTAAATAAACTTAGGGATTTCACTAAAATAATCCTGATCAGATTATTTTTATTAATTTTTTCTTCATAAATTAAATTAAATACATAGTTCATATTTAGCTAACAAATAATCTATTTTTCTTTTAACAACCAAAGAACGTTGTTTAAAATTAAAAACTTAAAAAATTTATAGTCCAGATTTACTAACAAAAATATACCCAATTTTTTTTAACAACCAAAGAACGTTGCTTAAACTAAATTAAATACATAGTTCATATTTAGCTAACAAATAATCTATTTTTCTTTTAACAACCAAAGAACGTTGTTTAAAATTAAAAACTTAAAAAAATTATAGTCCAGATTTACTAACAAAAATATACCCAATTTTTTTTATCAACCAAAGAACGTTGCTTAAACTAAATTAAATACATAGTTCATATTTAGCTAACAAATAATCTATTTTTCTTTTAACAACCAAAGAACGTTGTTTAAAATTAAAAACTTAAAAAATGTATAGTCCAGATTTACTAACAAAAATATACCCAATTTTTTTTAACAACCAAAGAACGTTGCTTAAACTAAATTAAATACATAGTTCATATTTAGCTAGCAAATAATCTATTTTTCTTTTAAAAGAAAATTTTTGAAATAATAGTCTATGTCCTCCAAAACTAAAAATCCATAAAATTTAAAAAAAAAAAAAAAAAAAAAAACAATTATTTTTAAAAACAAATGCCTAACAATAGTTCAATAGATGAGGACTTAATAAACTCAGAAAACACAGTTTGTATTTTATTAGCAACCGGAGTTAATAAATTAAATAAACCAGAGTTAATTTCTGAATTAAAAAAAGAGGCCTAATAGACTCAGGCATTGTCCCTGAACTAAAAACTAGACTACTAAAATATCTCAACGGAGAATCCTTACCTACGGATTTCTCCGCTTTTGAAGAACATAATTTTGCTCCAATTATTAACGTCGGTAAAATAAATAGTATGGAGAGTAAAAAATCATATTTCGACCCAGGTAGATTCTCGGGCTCCATTTCCGAAAATATTGATTCTTTCCTAAAGAAATATAATAGGGCAGCATCCATTAACGGGTGGACCAATGATGATAAATCCCAATATATAGCCGCATGTCTAGAAGGATCAGCCTTAACTTATTATGAAAATTCCGAAGACAATGCATTAGTTAAAACAAAATGGGAGGACTTAGAACATAAATTAAGAGCAGAATTTGAACCTATAGCCCAAACTGATATGCTTCGAATCCTATTAGGAAAACGAAAACAATTAGAGGATGAACTAACAACCTCATACATAAATGACGCCGAATCATTATGTAAACGCGTAGATCCACTTATGCCACAACCAGAAATGGTTAGAAATATTTTAAAAGGTCTTAAACCAACTGTTGCCAGATATATAGGCATTTTAGAAAATGGTAATATCACAGATTTAAAAGCCAATATTCGAAAATTCGAAATGGTAGAATTTATGATCACTGGTGAACAAACCAAAACCCCTTCAGAAATAAAAACGTCCATATTCAAAGATCAATTAAATAATATAACTACACAATTAGAAGAAAATTTAAAATTAATGAATAATAATAATTTACAAACCCAAGAAACTTTCAAAAAATTAAATAATGACATTGAAAAAAATAATTATAAGCAATTCAAAAATTCGAATTATCCTAAACAGCCTTTTCAACAAAAACCTCATAATAACTTTCAATCAGATAAACCATTTTATAATACCCAAAATGTTGATAATAACCAAATGCCACAACCAAATAAACAATATCCTTCACAAAATTTTAATAACCAAATGCCACAACCAATTAAACAATATCCTTCACAAAATTTTAAAAACCAAAAAAGCGACAATTCCAATTATAATAATCATTCTACAAAAGACTGTCACTTCAATAAAAATCCTAATAAATGCCAATTATGCGATAAAATAGGACACCTAGCCAAAAACTGTTGGATATACTTTCCAGAATCACAAAACCAATAGATAAGTCAAACATTTATGACGAAAATTGTTCCCCTTATATGTCAAAAACAAATCCAACCATTACACATTCAATAAATTATATTCCAAACGCATTATACATAAATGCAAAATTTAATAAAAATGATATTCCAACAACAATTGACACAGGTGCAAATATATGTTGCATTAGACATACTCTTGTACCCAAAGATCAAATCATAAACAAAGTAATTAATATGAAATTAACGGGACCCAATAACAAACCATTAATCTTAATTGGGTCCACTGAAATTAATTTAGAAATAAACTCTATTAAATTCAAAATATTGACGCACATTATACAAAACTTATCTTGTGCATTCATAATAGGAAACAATTTCCTATCCAAAAACCATGCCATTATAGATTTCAAAGCAAAAACAATTACCTTAAATAACAATCTCATAATTAAAGCCATTAACAAAATAGATAACGAAACAAACAAAAATATACAAAGAAAATCACGACAATTTGCCATAATTAACGACGTATTATACAATAAACATTTCACACCTCCTAACACGATAAAACATCTATTAGTAGTACCAATAAAATTAATTAATGAATTACTTAAGTCTTATCATGAATCACCTATCGGCGGTCATACCGGGATAACACGTACCATTCATAAATTACAAAATATAGAGGCCCATTCAAAATTATTAAAAAAATTATAGAATTCAATTATAAAGTAAAATTAACTCCAAATAAAAAACTAACTGAAGACATCATTCACGTTAAAAGAATTAAACCTATTGAAATAATAATATTCTTATATCATTACTACTTATGTATGCAATATTGATCTAACATAATTAATAATTATATATTTTTGGTACCTGGGGGGGGGGGGTCTCGTATAATATGAATTATACAGCAGTATTGAAAACAGAGAGGTAAAAAAAAAATCCAACCCTATTATCAAAAATACTAATAAATAATCATGTATGTATACTAACCAAAATTTAATCATTTATAGATTCTACTACAAGACTATATTTTAATAAAAAAAAAAAAAATCAAATAAGATTGTAAATTAACGTCATGTTTAAAAAAAAAAAAATAATAATAATAATAAGTAAAAAAAAAAAAATGTATATTTATAAAAATAAGAATATGTACACTATATAAAACAAGTGGATTATCCTGATCACAATCATGACATCCTCATACACGGACCTGATGGAATACGAAAACACAACATTTGTCTACATCGAAAACCTTCTAAAGACAACAATTACATCTCTATATACCAACCTCCTCGCTGTTTAGCTCAAGAAACATCAACCAGGTAATAAGTTATACAATAAAATACCTACACAATTCATATTAAAGAAAACATCATCAACGATACACTTAGTTAAGACACGCAGACTCAGGAGCTCCATAAATCATCATATCCTTCGTTTATAAATCAATACTCACGATCCCAATCAATCGTAATAATTATATGCTTTAACTGGTAATAAAAGATAGGATAAAAGAAGTCGCTATTCCAAATCCCTTTAATTATTATTTATTTAAAATAGCTAACTATACCATCTCAGTTAATATATTATTATAAGGTGAAGTTTTATCAATAGCAACGCGCATGCTTATTTTTAAATCATCACACAGAGTTTCTCCAACGATGAAAGATTTAAGACTTCGAAAGTTATAGAAAAAAAAAACGTTTAGCTTAGTTCCTGCAATATCGTATCAAATATATAATATACTGTGTTATTTATTTGGTAATATACACTATTAAGTAATTTGAAATACATTATTTGTTAGTATTATTTATCAGTTGTTGATCTGGCATGTATGTCTTGTGAATTATTTTCGTATTACTTACAGTTATTTTATTCAAATGAACACATTTGGAATTTGCATTAAATAGTCCAATTTATTTATCTTACATATAAAATTACTGAAAACATCTTAATAATTATGTATTAACCATACTATTTATAAAATCCAGTAAAATATTATTCAATCAATAAAATGCAAGGCTGGGCAAGTCAATGACACTTATGATACAGTCATTTTTTTCAAGCTATATAAATATTTTATTGGGAGGAGGAGTTTTAAAAAATACAGCCTTTACGTATATCGTTCTTTTTTTCGATTCCCTTGACCAATAAAATATATTTATACTAGAATTATTTTATAACATTTCTGTTAAGCCGAGGAATTGAAATAATAATATTCTTATATCATTACTACTTATGTATGCAATATTGATCTAACATAATTAATAATTATATATTTTTGGTACCTGGGGGGGGGTCTTGTATAATATGAATTATACAGCAGTATTGAAAACAGAGAGGTATAAAAAATAAAAATAAAAAATAATTGGTAGGTTGTAATTGATTGTTAATGATGCATAAATGATTTATAATTATTATTAATAATTCGATATCATAGTGTGGAGTGGTGGTTGGATCCACCTATAAAAATGAGCGTGTTGTCATGAACGGGTAGCAGTGGACAACTCAGATGAACAGCGAAAGGTAGACAAACAAATTACCGCTCTTGTTTTCATATTTTACGTTAAATTTTTTAAAATCCAAAATGTTATTCTTTTAAATTAAAACGATTAAAGACGTTCAATAATTATCGAGTATCAAGTCTTTTAAATCACATAGGTTCAAATTATTTTAAACTAGAGTTTGATGACAATTTATAATATTTTATAGGAAACTAGGATAACACAGCTTTCTTTGAAGATTTGTTTGGTTATTCCAGGTATATTGTATAATATTTATGATAATTAAATTATAAGTTATCCTAATGGACATGGTATATTTGTCAACTAATGACTAAAATATATATTATCCAACAGTATACGTATTGGTAATATAACGATGGACCTTCGGAACGAGAGTAATCATGTTTTCAACATTAAGTTGGCCAAGATTATAGGATTGTATCAAATGTTGGATCCCGGAACCGTAAAATGTCGGGGTCGAAACATCTATCACATTGTCACGTCGTGCGCTTTGCTTTATATGTGTCTCATCTCGATGATTTTGATCCTCAGTATTTTGTACTATTGGAATGTCAATATACCTATAAGTGTGGATTATTTTTGGAAAGCAATGGACTCGTTTTACATAATCTACAAGACGTGGATGATCATCCACTACTCGAACGACTTATGGAATTGTTTGTCGATCACACGGTACGATTTTACAACGTTAAGCAACCGGAGCAGACACATACTGGATCGTTGGCGAGAACGCTTGGTGTGGTTAACGACCATATATGCAATCATGTATTTAACTTCTACGGTCAGTTACTTGTCCATTACCTTGGCATTCAGTGGAGATAAATTACCAGTAAAAAACCATGACGTCTCAATCGGGTATTACCGACAGAATTGTCATGAATCCATGAAATCCATGAATTTGTATTTAATCGTATCTGACGAAACTTACAACGCACTGTATTATATGTTTTATTTCGTCGAGGCATTATTCGGCGTCTTTATGGGATTATATTTCCTTATATTCGATATTCTTCTGGTTACACTTTGCTTCGGTATGTGCTGCCAGATGGAAATAATTTGCTCTGCATTCGAATCGGTTGGGCACAAATCACTTTGTGACCAGCATTCACCAACAGGTGAGTACTAATTTTTAGGCATACTGAATAGTGTATACATCATACTACTCAATTATATGGGGTGAGTGTATGACCTGTTCGAAGCTAAAAAAATTTTTTTTTTTTTAAAAATTGAACATAATTCTAATTGATCAGTTCAAGTCTGTAGTTGAACCAAGTGTTTAATAAACAGAACCTAACAAAACTTAAATAAAAAGTTTTAAATTCAATAATTAATATTTAGAACACGACATACGTTTTAATTAAAAAATATTTTGTATTTTATATTTTGGTTCAACATGTAACTAAAAACTTCGTAACCTACATACTTTATTTCAAAATCTCAACTCGAGTTTAGTTTGGTATTAAACAGAATTGGTTCTTTTGGTTCAAGTTCGATTCTATACACTATTAAAAGTTTTAGGTCAAGACCATATTTTCGAGTTTAACCACCTTTAATACATACACATTTAAATGTATAGTATTTATTTCAATCACACTGTCTAGCTTGTAAAATGTACAAGTTGTAGTTTTAGTTGAAGTTAAAATTTACTATATTTTGAAACTAATTGTATTGACATTTTTACATATTTAAAATTATTTACCTATGTTGTTTTGATCACTTATATTGAATTAGTAAATTTAACCCTTTGACACCGTTAATCATACACTCACAGATTATTGTTAGCTCACCGAGAAATACATGTTTGTGGTTTAGTAAGTGATTTAAATTGTAATTAAAATATGAAGGTAGCAGTTTTAGGTTGGCTCATCTATGCTCAACATATAGGATAGTGTTGTAATATTAGCAGAATTATAAAACAAAGGTAATTGATAAATCACAGCTTCAAAAATAATTCTGAAAATTTCATGAAAATATTTTGTTTTCATTTCATAAATTTGTTTTCATCTTATAATGTTTTGTAATGTGTTCTGATTATTATAGTTAAAGATTTCTTCTGAGAGTTATTTTTATTTTCGTTGTGCAATAAAATCTAGTTTTCTACGATCTAAGAATATTATATGATACTTTAAGTGTGTTTTCGTTGATAAAATTTGTATTACTAAAAAAAAAAACATTGGATATAAAGTTATGTTATCAAAATTTGTTTAACTAAAAAAAAAAAAAAAAAAAAATTAGATAACTTTATAATTTTAAACAATTGCTAATACATCTAATATTTACTATACTCTTGTCCAATTAACACAGTTATTTTGTTTCCTTGTAGATTACACAGATGAAAATATTAAGATATCAACTAATGAACATGATATAATATATGAAGAATTAAAAACAATTATAATAGATCATCAAGCAGTAATGGAGTAAGAGTTGATTTATTTTTTAAAAAATTTTTTTTATTATTAAATAGTATTAAATTTGAATTAAAAATAAATATTTACTAACCAAATATGCATGAAAATCATCATTATATATTTAAATTAACTTATCAATGATATGATAACTTATAGCTAACTTTAGGTATTAAATTAAAATGTGGGTACTGCAAAATAAAATTATTTTTCCAAAAGTGTTTGACTGTTTTTTAGTACAAAAGCATTCATATTTAAATAGTAAAAATAATTATTCACAAAATAGTTTAAAAATTGAATGTTTATGCAGACTTTAGACCAGAATTGCAGATTTTACAAAATATTATTTCTTTTAATCATTAGTTTACTATATAGGTATATGTGCATTTTTATAAGAATTAAAAATGACCCAGTTTCTACAAATAAAAACCTTTATTCTTTTTTTAAAATGTTGCTCATGTATGCAAACATTATACATCTGACCAGTGGCATCCGCAGGGTGGGGGGTTCTAACGGGCTGAAGCCCCCCATTACCCGTATTATTATTACTTTAAAAAAAAAAAATTTATCAAGTTTCAACTGTCAACTATAGTAAGCAAGACATAAATTTCATACATGTTTTACCAAAATGAATTCATTTTTGAAAAAAACATTGTATGTGCATACCAATTTTCATAAATTATTCATAATTTTTAGGTAAAAGTACCTATGAACTACTTGTATGAAAGGCCTTGTATTAAATTGTCTAGCCTTAGCTATACAGTACCTATAGGTACCTATATATTTAATATTTCATAGGATTTGAACTACAAATTATTTGTGGTTTTGACGAAATTTGAACTTTAAATACTTATAAAAATTAACCATGATGCCTATGTATCGTTAAAATTTTAGCTATAATGAAAACTCACATATTACATTTTCAAGGTTTTGGACTGGATAAATAATTTTTTATTGACATTTAAAGAAAAAAAAAATTTAATTAATCAAATACAATCCAAATGAGGACGTTATAACCAAGCTGGTTACAAAACTATTTTAATAAATTTTCATTTTTTTCTCCGATTATTTTAAAAAGCACTGACTATTTTCAATTTATTTTGAACTCCTAAAAATACCAACAACTAGATCCAATTTGCTTCCAAAAACATACTTACATCGGTCATCGAAGCTTATGATCAGAGAATTTTTTCTAAAAGTAAAGTTGAAACGTTACAAACATTTTAAAATACCTCAAATAAACTTCTAAAATTATGAGACTGGACAAAATAAAAATAAAATTGTAACTAATTTTCAATCCCCCCCCCCCATTGAAAAATCCTGCGTACGTCACTCTACATCTCAACGACTTTTGCATTGTAAATTTTACAACAAGATAAATTCACATTACCATGTACATGTATCAATAAAATAAATGTGGAAAATTGTAATGATCAAACAATTGATTGAACAAATTAATTTGAATTAATTTATTATTGTGGTGAAAGGTGGATTATTTCTTCAGTTCCCATGACATATTAAGAGTGAAAAAATAAATTATTAAAAACTGAAAAAGTACAACATAACTGTAATATGAAGACCTGACAAATGATAAACATACATTTTGTTTTAATAAATCTTATTAATAATTTTTCTATATTAGAATTTATTTAAAAGTGTAAAGTCACATTTTTTTATTTTAAATAATAATGTTAAATAGGGATAATTAGTAAATATGGAAACACCTATAATTTTTCCGATACTTGAGTGACGAAAGGTTGTGTAGTGCATCCAAGTTTTAACGTTTGGGTGCAGAGTGTGTGAAGTCATTACATTATGTTACACCTTACGACTTAATACTGCTCTACTATTCTTTATTTTTTTTTTTTAGGATATATGAACATTTCTTAACTCTATTTCGACGAGTAATGTTGTGGCACATTTTTGTATCGTCATTATTGGTCATCGCGCTTTGGTTTACTGCCATAATGGTAAAATTTATGTAGTACTTATATTATAATAATATTGTCCTATCCATTTAATATGGTTTATTAAACTTTAACCTACAATTATATGAATGAGATTATTATTGATGTCTAATAGTATTTTTTTAATCAGATAATTTATAGTTACTCTCCCATAATATTTTTTACTAGTTATAGTAAAGATTACAGTTATTACAGTTGTACATAATTTTATGACATATTTAAAATCAAATCGATAAATGCAATTTATTGTGTCACGCATACAAGTAGTAGTGTAGTACTACCCAAAACCAATTTTGCTTAACATGACATTTTCAAACTGTTAATATTTTCCACGCTTAGGGGTTAATAATATACTTGTACTCGGAAAATAAAAAATTATTTTTTTAATTAAATTTTTGTTGATGTTCATACAATTGTTCGAGCCGCCATTCACATGTAATTATAATTACAGTATTTTCAGTATAATCCGCCGATTGATACACACACACACAGACAACACGTATTTGTTATTGCATGTCTTATTTTTGTACTATTTCTGATTGTGTACTAAATAATTGTAGATTACGCCTGGTGAGTTATCAGCCGCCGCCGGTTCACCTGTATGAAAATTTCACACGGCCGCTCAGTCTTTCGGTCTGTCAAGTTTTATCAACGCTGTAACCCTCAATACTTTCCGCGGTGTGACCAAGGATCGAACCCGGATCGGCTGCCCATTAGTACCATTCTTTTAGTTACCTATCTGGCTATCTACCTTATTATAATACACACACACACACACACACACACACGCACTCGGAGTTTTGATCGGCGAACCCGTCCACTTCTCCTGAGTCGCTATACCTAATAACACACTGTGTATCGGTCGGTGTGTGAGTGTTGAGCAGAAGTATACGCTGACCGGGCGCACGGTCTATTATTGAACCGTACCCGGCTCCAACAACAATATTATATCGTTAAATTCTATTGTATTATGATTAATCGTTTCAAATTATTCACCGGCCATTTCCATACAAATAAAGTATTAAATTAAATTCGTTAAAGTTCATATGTCCATAGTATTTGTGAACTAAGGAGCGAGAAATAACTTATCAGGAATAAAATGATTTCAGAGTTTCTCCAACGATGAACGGTTTAAGACATCGGAAGTTATCGTCAAAAAAATAATTTACTCAGTAATTCCAGCAATATCGTTTCAAATATTTATGTTGTGTTACTTATTTGGCAATGTACATAATCAAGTAATTTGAAATGCATTATTTTTTTAGTGTTATTTATTTATTGTTTATCCGGTATGGCAGCATGTATGTCTTGTGAATTGCTATGGAATTACATACAATTATTTTATTTGATTTAACACAGATCACATTTGAATTAAATATACCAATTTATTTATGCACCAAATCAAAATTACCGAAAAACTATTAAAAAATTATGTATTAACCATATCACGTAAGGACAACCTAAGCATATGCACAAATATATTATTTCATCAATAAATATGTGAAACACTGTATGTATGTTGTTTAAACCAGTAACTTTTAAATTTTGCATACATATATTATATAAACAACATGGGTATATAATTAAGTATAAGATTCTTTTAATTCTACACGTTCAAAAAAAAAACAAACAAGATTTAGAAAATGTATTGGATTTGATGAATTTTATAGTCCTGGATTCAAAATAAACCAACTATTTATTGAATTTTTTTTTTACTAAAGAAAGATTCAGTAATATTTGCATTGTACAGCAGTAATTGGACAGAAATGGATATGAAATGTAAAAAATTGATATTATTGACAATGACATTGAATAATGCTAATCAAAAAAAGTTAAAATTTACTAGAACAAAAATTGTAAACTTGGAAATGTTTTTTAAAGTAAGTACTAATATAATTATTATTTAACTAATATTTTTCAATTTTAGGTAACTTATTAATTTACGATTGTTTTAAATTAAATATTAAACAGTAAAAAAATTATTAACCTTATGAATACAAATTATTAGGTATATATTTTGTAAAATAATCAAATTATTTCGGTTGTTTATAAATAACTATAAAAAATATAAATTTTTTTTTAGGTAATTATTAATATTTTTTATATTTTTTATTACAGACAATGGGTAATTGCTACACAGTTATTTCGGTTTTAGTAAATTATATATTATAATCAAAGGATGAATACATTGTGACCATTGTGTTCATGAATATTTTAAATGTAGTAAATTTGTTTCACATTATTGCTTTAATTATTATATTGTAACTACAAACCTAGTTCTTGTTATACATACACAAAGGATGAACACATTGTGTTCATGTTTATTTTAAATGTAGTAAATTTGTTTTCGTTATTATATTAGTTATTATATTATAAGTTATAACTATAAACCTAGTTCTTGTGATTTCTTGAATTACTCATAACTTCTTAGTTATAACGTATTATTGTAAACAACATATAAATAGATAATTATAGTTATGTAATAGTGCATACAAAGTTTATTGTAAATTATCAAAATAAAATATTTACTAGTATTTTGTATTGTAATAAATTCCTAAATGTAATTCATGTAAATAAAAAGTGGGAAATTAGGTACCTACCTCCCTGCTGTACCATAGGTGTCGTTTATGGCACGCAGTATTGGATGTGTTCAATTAAAACATACAATTATTGTGTACAAAAAAAGTCTCTGAGTGAAGACAGTCTATCCTGTTTATTGGTGTAACTCTACACGAAAATCAAATTAAATTTTTATGAGGGTTTGAAGTTCATATTTTTACAAGATTGGATATTCACTCAATTCCTCATGTAGCGGTTGTGTTATTTTGTTGCAATACAAAAACGGATTACTGTAGGTACATGACAATTTCACTGAATGTTTTTAATTTCGTTTACTATGTGCTGTACAATTCGGAAAATATTATATTGACTCTTTTTGAGCTATTTACGGTATTTTTCCTTTCCAATTTTTATTTTTATTTTTCTATAAATGTCAATAACATTTAATTTGTTGTTTCAAAAAATGAGAAAGTTTATTACAAGGTTCGGTAGTTAATCTTAATATTAGTAATTATTTTGTAATTTCATTAAAATAATTTAACTTTAATATATTATATTTCTATACATAAATAAAAACACAGTATAACTAATAGCGATGGTCCGTATGGAGTGTGGGGTGACCCGGTATACATACTAAATATATGAATATATACATATGCATTAGGCATTTATCTATACGCTTCCTTATACACACACTACACCTAAATTTTAATATTGAACATCTCTCCACCAGCAGCACCTTCAAAAAATAAAATAAGATCATAAACACATTAATATATTAATCGATATATATCAAAAGAAGGGATTACACAAAAATCACCCTATATGGGTAAGGATCATACAGAATCGACTTTTATGTCTGTCTTAAACACGAGAGGATCCGATGCACAACGTCCACGCCAGTATTCACTTCGACGATATTTTTGGAATTCAGAGCGAGTGCGTTTATAATATGTGCTTGTATATTGAGTTATTCCAGCATTCGGTATGATTGTCTAAATTAATAATTTTGTATTATCGAACAAATTCACCTTCTTTCTTTTTTAAATTTACTTGTCGATCCGCCCACTTACAATCCAAAACTCTGTGACTATCGTCGTATAATAGCGTAGCTATAATTTTAGATACATACTACTATAATTATTTATTTATTTAGAATATAAGCATAATTTTAAGTGCTCATAAACTCAAATCACATTCGATAAGCCATTGACTACGTACCATTGCTGCGATATAGTGTTTTTTAATAGCATACGATAATAGTCACGTCCCAAATCATAGATAACAAATTCATATAATATTAGTGTTCGAATCACATCAATATTATAAGTAGTACTTAACAAAAAGAAACTCTCTTAATATACTAAGTATTAAATATACAAATCAAAACACGTAATATACATAGGTACATACTACATATACGCCGCAGTGACTTCGATCATCTAACTCAACCCCGTACGAATACGACTACATACTCAGGTAAATCAAATTAAAATATTTCATAATGCATTATTATAAGATACGAAATATAATAGAGAAGTAGCACAATTATAAGTAGTATGATTTAGATGGTTCAAGTCCACACTAGCCCCTAGTCCCTAGCCCATGCGAGTCAATGCCGTGCGCTGCCATTCCCCTCCATGCCATGCCTTTCTCCATCACGTGACCTGCTATCGCAAACGTGCCCTACACCCCCCCCCCCCCCCATTAATGTCTATCCCTAAAAATTAAATAAATTCAAATAATTTAATTTAATATTATACTAGTATTTAAAATAATACATTAGATAAACACAGTTTGTAATAAGTTAGCGACTTATAATAATAAACATAAAATTATTAATGATTTCCCAATACCATACATCTAAGTGAAAGTGTAAATGTATAGTATACATATCGCTACACGATATGACATTATCAAAACATAGTTCACACATAGTTGTTAACGAGTCGTTATTATATACATATAACATTGTATACTTCACACTTATGGTGAAATATTTTTGTTTTCCTAAGACCATCAACTTAACGTTTAGAAAGTTAGTATGTACAAAATCTAATTGCTTAGCTATTATTTCAACAATTTAAATGTATCCTAAAATAATTGAAAATATCATATGGATTAATCTTTTAACATGGTAAACAAGTAGATAATATTTTACCAATCCATGGCTTAAAATGTCACCATTACCTAAATATATTATAAATCGAAAGGTATATAGTCCTACAAATGTTAATAACCAGTCAGTACGTTTCCAGTCGTATACTTCAGTACACAAACATTTATCGTTCTGCCTTTAATATTTATAGTGAAATTTATTTTTAAAGTGTTTATTATTTTACTATATCGAGTATAACTTTTATTTCATTTTCATTTCAAATATTATCATTATGTTTAAATGTACACAGTGCTCATCTGAATTTACACGTAAAGACAACTTGGTTGTACACCAAAAGAAACATGATGGTATACGTTTTCCATGTGCTATATGTGATAAGACATTCAATGATAAGTCTCATCGTAATAGACATATGAAAAATGTTCATGGTATGTATTACTTAATTACTTTTAACATTCGATTTTTTCGCAAATTAATAAGTTATTTTATTTTAAAAGGTGTTGTCGGTATCAAACCCATTCAACGAGGTCGATATATTCAACCAACTCAATCACAGAGTGATGGAATAGCGCATACATCAAAAATCATCACCCCAAACACTCCAACGGTTACGTTATCCAACAACCAAGCTGATGAAAATATGGGTTTACCGAATGAAACATCTAATGATTTATACATTGACGATGATGATCGTCGCATGACAATCATAAATGAACTTAAGGATACCAACTTGGTTGATACTATACAAGGTTAGTATATAATATTATACACACAACGTATGGTTATGTAGTATTAGTAGTAGTAGATTTATTTATACTCAAAATATTACAATGAAATAGGTTTAGGTAATGGTTTTGTTTAAAACATGCAAATCATTAAAAAAGTAATTAAAAGTTATACACTTTCACATTTTGTAATATAATTTAAAGAATTTCGAGTGATGCTTATAATAAAATAATATTATTAATTCTTTCCTAATATTTCAACTGCATGCTTTAAATATTAGTATATTATAATAAAATAATATTATTTTTCTTTCCTAATATTTCAACTATATGCTTTAAATAGTAGTATATTATTAGATTTACTTATTCAACTATTCAACATATATATATATTTTATTTATTTAAGGTTAGGTAGATGATATATACTACACAATATAGGTTTATTAAAATGTTTGAAAAGATTTGGTGTTAGTATAATATTAATATCATAGATAGCACATAGGCTAATATTAGTTTTTTTTATTTTAATTTCAAGATTCATATACAACTACGACTAATGGCAAACGTATTTCCACCGCTAATACGGTTTCGGCTGCTAAGTCGAAAAAAGCACGCATGAGCCTAGTTCAGTCACCAGGCTTCGTAGAAATCTCATCTTCAGCTAATAGAAAAATTGTATGGTACTATAACAAAAATACCGATAATGTTCAAAACTACCATACCTTTCTTCAATCGCTTAAAACCAACCTCGTTCAGTTATTAAAAACTCGTGTTCAAAATGATAATTCAATAAAATTCAATTTAAAACTAGAATCAACGTATAATCGTCCAAACGTTGAAAATTCATCGGAAAATCGAGCATTTAAAACATCAGCCAAAGAAATTTATATGGATACAAAAATCGAAACAATAGTTGAAGAATCTTTTATGAAATTATTAGCTGAGGAAGACGCTTATGTTTCTCGCGGTAGCGGGTTTACATTACAATCCATCGATGGTTTACTACTAGCCATTTATAAGTATACTCCAATGTCTGGTTCGTCATATATTCAATTACCGAAATCTATCATAGATAAACGAGCTATAATAAATCCTAAAAATACAGATCAACAGTGTTTTAAATGGGCTATATTAGCAAAACACGTTGCAGGAGAAAAAAAATTTCGTGTCAACGAAAACTATACCGAGCATGAGGATAAATACATTTTCAATGGTATTTCGTTTCCAACACCACTATCGGATATCTCTAAATTTGAAAAAAACAATCCAAACGTTTCCATGAATGTTTACGGGCTCGAGAAAAAACTTCAACCACCATTAAAACACCCCGTGCACTGTGTATTTCCTCTGAAAGTTGCTGATGATGAAAAACAAGATCATTTTGATTTACTGCTGGTAACAGATGGAGATAACAGTCATTATACATATATCTCAAACTTTTCAAGACTGCTTCGCTCACAAAAAACTCGTCATGCAAATCAAGCAATATTCTGTAAACGATGCTTTACATCATTTGACAAACAGAATTTAAAGCATAAATTAAGCGGACAGGCAGCGCTAGAACACCACAGATTAATATGCGGCCCGCATAAACCCATATTACCGAAAATGCCTGAAGAGGGAGCAGTTCTTGAATTTAAAGCATGGCAAAACGCACAAAGGCATCCTATTGTTATATATGCCGATTTCGAGGCTCTACTTGTAAAGACTGATGAGAAAAAGGGTGATAATACAACAATCATGCAAAAACATAATCCTATGAGTTATGG